TTTTTTTGGTTGGTTTTTTTCTTTGTTTTGGAGATAGGGTTTCTTTGCACAAGAGTCCTGGTTGTCCTGGAAATCACTTTGTAGACCAGGCTGGCCTCGAACTCAGAGATCCACCTGACTCTGTCTGCCAAGTACTGGAATTAAAGGTGTGTGCCACCACTGCCCGGCATCATTACCCCTCTTTAAGACCACTCTCTCCTTCACTGAAGGAGCATAGTGATATAGTCATACTTAAGTGTGCCACAAACAAGGTTCCTAAAGAGTACAAAGTTTGGCAACTGATGAGTAGAGGTACGTACCTATTATAATCCTGACATTGAAAGGTCAGAGCAGGCAGCTGGAGAATTAAGAGTTCAAGATCATCCTCAGTTACTTGGAAATTTGGGGACCAGTTTGTGCTACATAAGACCCTGTCTGGAAAAGAAAGAAAATAAAAGAATACGACGCTTGGTCGTTTCTATTTTAAAGTGTCTTAACTGGCTAACACTGGGCCATGGTGTTGAGAACGTGGCTGGTCACTGCAGTCAACTTGCTGTCCCAGCAACAGTGGTGTAAGGACAGTACTAAAGTTCTCTGTAGATGTATCCAACCGTCTTATTAAATAAGAAACACAGAACCAATGTAAAAGAAAAGGCCGAGAGGTCAGAGGTCAGAGCTCAGAGCTAAAATCTCACCCTTCCTCCTGCGGTGTCCCAGCTTCCCGAAAAGAGAGCTATTTCCTGTGTGTAAGTCATTTTTCTAGTCATTCTGCCTTCTCATTGGTTGTAAGCCCAAACACGTGACTGCCTCATCACTGTCTGAATGTACAGCCCCCTAGGTCTTAAAGGCATATGTCTCCAGTGCTGGCTGTATCCCTGAACACACAGAGATCTATGGGATTAAAGGCGTGTGCCACCACCGCCACACTCTGTCTATGGTTCTAATAGCTCTGACCCCCGGGCAACTTTATTTATTAACATACAATCAAAATCACATTTCAGTACAATTAGAATACCACCACAGTTCTCTGCAATTGAACAAACAGAAAAGCAAAATATCCTTAACTTGGGGGATGTGGTATTTGCAATCATGTTGTTATACTGTGTTCCAAAAGCACAGACCAGAGCCTGAGCAACTGGTAAGTATTTGAACAAGTGAATGCATGAGTGAAGGAATGATCCTGAAGGTAAATGACCAGAATACATGTGTTCACCTTAGAAAGGCGGGTTTTGATGAAGCAGGATCTCCCAGGTCACCCTCTCACACCTCCCTTTGCTTCCCTAGGCAGCTTGAAATCCATTCTCCAGATGCTAAGCACACGGTGATCCTGAGGAGTAAGGACTCCGCCACTGCCCAAGCCTGGTTCAGTGCCATCCATTCCAACGTCAGTGACTTGCTGACCCGAGTGATTGCTGACGTCAGAGAGCAGCTGGGAAAGACCGGTATCGCTGGCAGTCGTGAGATCAGACATCTTGGCTGGCTGGCAGAAAAGGTGAGAGGAATGTCTCCTCTGTCGATGGTTCCTAGGTTCCCTCACTGAAATGACCTCATTCTATAAGCTGGTTCTCTCCTTAACAGTGAATTGACTTTCTTGTCCATCCCAGCAGACCTCATAACATTGCAGTATGTGGAGAATTCATCTTAACCAACATTTATTCTCTAGTATACTTTCAAATATGTGGCAAATTACATGTGGTCCCTAGCTGTGCAATGGGCAAATGAGCACGTTAATGGATAGTTTGATTTCTGTGGTATCCCTGTGATAGGCAGGAAAAGTAACTCGAGCTCATAATATAGCATCTATGAGGGAATAGACATGATTGCTCAGAAGGGGTTTTTGTGAATTTTAATGAACCTGCTCATTAATTTAATAGATCCTCCAGGAATCATGTGTTTCCAAATGACAGCAATGATATTCATAACTAGGTTTATTGAGCAACTACTATGTGCTGATTTATTTTTACCTTATCTTTTATTTGTACTGTTAAACAAGCAAGTTTTAAATGTCATTCTTAATGAGCTTGTATGGGATGCAGGCCTAGGCAGGAGTGGCAAAGTTTGCATTTAAAATGAATGTATGGCAATATTGGCACAGTAAGCAGTTTAAAAATTAGTTATTAGAAAATATTTCTCATTCAAAATCATGGGCTCCATTATGGCATATGTACAAATTTATGTGTCATATTTGCATTCCTTTTTTCTTTTCCTCTTTTACCAGTCTTCCTCTTCTAGACTGCACCCCCCATTCCTACTTTCACATGTGTGTAAGAATCCATACGTATGTTTGACAATTGGGACAAGATGAGGGCCTAACAGGGGGTTGCAACTGCAGAAGCTTTCATTTATGCTGTAAATCGATTTCATGACGTCATAGCTTAGACATTTTAACAAATCAGGCAAATAAACAATGTAATGAGCAAGAACTCTGAAGCAAGAATGAGCTAATGTAGACTGTGTCACTTTTTTGGCTTTTATATAAATGATGAATTTAGAAAAATAATCCCTTTTCATAATAATAATAATAATAATAATAATAATAATAATAATAAATAAAGACATGGCTGTGTGTCATGGAGGACAGCTGCCATGGAAAAGGTTTTATATATAAAGTTAACATTGTCGCTCAGATTTCCTTTCCCAAAGCATATGATATGTTGGGGATAGGAAGGCTTGACGGGTCAAACCTTGGCCGTTGTTCTTACATCTGATTGCTGTCCCTTGAACCTGTGGTGATGGTGGTGTTCCTGGGCTTTGAGACAATTTGACCTCCCCATGACTCCTTCTAATAGATGGTAAATGGAAATAGAGATGTTGCAATAACAGCTTTCCTGCCAATGAATCCTGTCACCTGAGAAAGCCCAGTCAAAGGGCACTTGGAAATAACACCTGAACAGAGCATTCGGCTGCTTTCCACCATTGTTCTTTGTATGCACTTGTTCACGCGTGGGTCTGGGCCACAAAGGTCAATGCCCAGTGTGTTGTTTGGTTTGGTGTTGTCCCATCTCTTGTAGATGTCAGAGAACTAAAGATCAGTGTGGGTGTTAAGAGCTTCAATATCATAAGACCTGCAAACCTTGGCAAGCCTTTCACAAGCTAGCTGGCTCAGAAGGTGACCAGAAGTGGGGGGGCGAGGGCAGCTATGTGAACGTGACAGGGTAGGGTAGTCAGAGGGGAAATCTGTGGTAATGGAAGATTTCTGCCTACGGATTTCTATGGTCTTCATGTAAACGTATGAGTTTTGAGTCGGTATTCTTAATGAAAAGAGCGCAGGAAATCTGGACAGTTGACATTTGTAAAGTCACGGTTGCTAACACTCCCCATCATTTACTTTCTCAGGTGTGTTTCTCTTGGGGGGAGGCCTGTTAGGCAAGAATCCTGCAGTTTCAAGTGACAGAAACTCAACTCTGCTTGAGCATCAGGAGCATTGTGCAGCCTGTGTCCCAGGACAAGCTTCAGGTGTGCCCAGGATTCACTTAATGATATTAGTCACACCTCTCCATCTCTGCTTTTCTGTCGTCTACTTTGATAATTTAGTCTCAAAGGACTCACCTCTGCTTGACCTGGAAAGTCCAGGTTCATTTCCTTACTCTTGGCTGTCTCCAACTTAAAGCCTCTGTGCCCCGTTCCTTCCAACAGAAGTCTTACTATTGGATCTAATTGGATTGTCTTGAATTGTATTTTGAGTACCAGTTGCGCTGAGCTCAGAACGAACCAAGTCATAATCTATTAAGAAATAAAGAATGGTTGTTTTGTTTGAGCGTGGGAAGGTCTATTTGAGAGTCTTTCTGTATAGGCCATGCTGGTGTAGAATTTAGAATCATCCTGTCTCAGCCTCCCAAGTACTGATATGATAAGTGTTTGCCACCGGAAAGCTACAGATTTGTCTTTGAGGAGAGTGTTATGGTGATTGTTCTGGTTTTTTTTTTTTTTAAGGCCGTGTCTCACAAAAACCAATCTGATATTGAACTCATTGTGTTTCCAAGGATAACCCAAACTTCTGATCCTCGGGGATTACAGGTGTGTCACCATGCCTGGTTTATGTGGTGTTGGGTATCAAATCCAAAGCTTTGTGTGTGGTAGGTAAGCCCTCTACCAGCTAAGCTCCATCCCCCAAAGGGGCATTATTTTTTTTAATGAAAAAACTTAGAATAATAAAGTGTGTATGGGTACAGAAGTGACGGAAGTAGAAAGACAGACAAGAGAAGGAGCCTGTTGGGATGGACCATGCCTTCATCTGGTTAAGATGCTGAGTTACCATGAGTGTTCCTAGGAGAGGAAATGGGACGCCTCTTCAGTGTCCCGGCAGAGAGGGACAGGAATTCAAATTAATGACTGCAAGGATTTAAAGCAGGGGTAGTTGGTGCAGTGTATCCAAGATGTGGGAAACACATAAAGAAGTGCCCCAGAATTGACAGTGAGATGCTGTGCTGTCCTTTGACCTGAAAGCGCATGAGCAGGAGCAGGAACTGAAAGGATCAAACATCACAGCTGTAGAAAAGGGCTGGCTACTCCCAACCATAGTCTTTAGGAGAGAAAGCCAGTTCCTGCCATCTTCTGGCTACTGACCTTGTGCTGTTATTTCCTAATGGATGAGGAAGCAAGAGGGAAGGGGTGGCCACTGGTGACATCTGTTCATGTGAGTGGGCATCCCAGGGCTCAGGGAAGGATGTGAAGAGGCACGAGCTGGATCTGGCATGTATGTGGGTTCTCGCCAGGGCACACACCTTCCAAATACTGTGATGACGTTCTCACCTCTTTAATCGCTATCTGTATTTAAAATCATTACTGTTCAGTTAGTTGAAAAGTGTCTTTGTACCAGTCCTAGTGATGCTGGCTATGTTTCCAGAGGTTCCCCTGTTTTCACTTAAAAGCTGAGTTATGCCTTTGGCTTATCCCAAATCATTAGTGGGCCATTATTAGGTGTTCCCATGGAGCAATAATAAGAGCATATAAAAAGCTCTTTCTGTTTTGGGAATGCCATTATTCTTACAATATAATTTCAAATAATCATTGCAGATGTCTCCTTGAGTGTGTGCTTCAGTGTATTTATAAGAGCAATAATGACTTATTATGGACAATTATTATAAGCAAGAATATCCTTTATTGCTTTTAACTCCAAATTTCTCAAAAAAAAAAAAAATACCATACATCAAGTCCAAGGGAACAAATCCAAACAAGGCTCTTTTTTTGAATAGATGTTTAATACCAAATTCTAGTGTGGATTCATATGGATGGCTTTTAGCCAAATACAATGAATGGCAAATCCTTAATATTGTGCCTTTCTTATCACAAATATCAGAGAATTTACTTGGTATTTGTAAAGATATAAAATGTGATCCTATATATATCCAGCTGCAATTTACCTTAAATTGATGTCCTTTGTCTTTCTCTATACTGTTAAGCTTTGGCTTGGGGATGAATAATAGCAGCTCCATGACAAGGTTATACAAATCATATTTAATTTCAAGGTTTTACAAGTGAGGCTTATATGAACTAACATACTGTGAAGCCACATCAATTTCCTTTGTAAAATCCTGTGTAGTACAAATCCTAAGACCTCCTTGACTCTACTCGGGAAGAAAACTGAATACTAACACTGTTCTCTACTTGAGACAGTCGGGGGAGCTGAAGGATGGCTCTTGAGAAACTATGAGCTCTCCAGTGACCAGAGAGAACTCACTGCCAGAGACGATAAGAAGAGTGGGCCATGGAATAGCTCAGCTTGTGGGTAATGAAACGTGTGTGTGTGTGTGTGTGTGTGTGTGTGTGTTTTAGTTATGTATATGTGACAGGAGGGTACACGTGCCTAGGAATACTACTAGGGGCCAGAAGAGAGCATCGGGTAACCAGCTCTATCACTCTCATCCTTGAGATGGGGTCTCTCATTGACCTGGAGCTAGGTCAGTGGCCAGTACGTCATGTCGATCATCTTGTCTCTGGCCCTCACAGCTCTAGGAGTTACTACAGTGCACATAGCTACATCCAGCCTCTTATGTGGGTGCTGGGATTCCCACTCATGTTCTCCTGCTTGTACAGCAAGCATTCTTGCCCACTGAACCATCTCTTCAGCTCCCAAATGGAAGACACTGTAAGCTACACAGTGATTTAAATCTGATTTGGTGAACAGTAGAAAGCATTCGCATACAAAAAGGAACTCAGAGCTGACCTAACCCAACTCCTTTTTCCTAAGGAAGAGAAAATGCAGTCCCCAGGATAGAAGGTATTTTTATCTAAAGTCACACTCAAAATTAAGATACAGAAATCACGATACAGAAGGACAATCCTGGGGTGAAATTGTTTCTTTGATTTAGTCTTTGAAAGAATTCCCTGCCGTTCATCTAGTACAGTCATTTTTCTTCTCTCTGTAGGTCCCAGTACCCTTTCTTGGACTCTGCATTGTCAGGACCACTACAGACCTTGACCATCTTCCTTGGCTCTTTGCTGTCTAGGTCCTCTGTTTTTCCTATGCTATATTTTTCTGTGAGCACTAAA